CCCCTCGGGAGCTGCCTCTCCATGGGGCTGAACAGCACTCCAAGGTCAGCAGGAATCCTGTACCCCAAGAAACAGGGCTGGGACGGGGCACCCAGGAAAGCCTGTGCCCCGTGTCCCTCTGGTCACCTCCTCCCTCAGCACGAGCTCCTCTGGTCCCCAAAAGGACACTTTTCCAGTTTGTACTTCAAGGCTGTAACCCCTGCCCCATGAGCTGTGTGTGCCCTCCGCCCCCAGAGGAGGGGACATGGGTCTGAGTGGCCACTGGGTGAGGACACTGTCCCCCCTACCCACAGGGTCACTGCAGAGGCCACAGGAGGAGGATTCACCGTTCCTCCCCACACTCCAGCACGCCCCACAAACCGGGTGTTTCTCCCAGAGGAGCAGAGGCAGGGTCCTGCCAAGATGTGGCAGCTCCAGAGCAAGAGAAGCAGGACTTCACTGACAGCAGGAGGGAAGGGCAGGATCAGAGGGGACAAACAGGGTCCCTCTGGGCTCTGATCATCGTGTCTCCATTCACAGCTGGCACAGCTCTGCTCCCTTTCCCTTCTCCCTCCTCCTAGGCTGGGCTCAGGGAAGGGGACAGGTCWGGGGGAACAGCGGAAGGCAAGGACACCCCATCACCCCGCAGGAAAAMCACGTGCATGCCCAGCCCCGTGTCCTCAAGTGTCACCACCGCCGTCTCCTGGGCTCTGTCCCCCGCAGTGGCCGGGCTCGTGGCTCCAGCCCATGGGTAGCAGGGCGCTCTGCTGGGGCCAGCCCGGCTCTGGCATCCTGTGCTGGTGGCGGTGGCAGCTCCTGAGCCCGGCTCCCCTCAGGACACGGTCAGTGTGGCCAGGCAGGAGCTGGGGCCGTGTCCCTGGGGTGGTGGCACTGGGGAGCAGAGAYGCTGTGAGACCCTGGACGGTGGCAGCCACCCCCTCCCCACTGCTGGTTATGCGTGGGGGACRCATCTTCCCATGCAGGTGGCCTTGGGATGGTGTGAACCCTGCACCCCTCTGGGGCTGGGGAGAGCCCTTGGAGAGGTGCAGCCCTGGGGATGAAGGCTGATCCTGGCTGCCCTCCTGCTTCACGAGGGATGGCACCACCCGTGTCCCCTCCCCGCAGTCCTACCTGTGGTTACCAGCTCGGTGAACGCTGTGCAGTGTCCCCTGCTCCGTGTGGCTCTGCGCTGTGGTGGCAGCGAGGGGACTGTGTGAACAGACCTCAGGTCAGTCATTAGCAGCTGCAAAAGAAACAACCAACGCAGCAAGGGAGACAAACAGGGCACCGTCCTCAGGCACAGCCCAGCCGAGCTGGCAGGAGCCTGGGCTGTCCCTGTCCCCTTGCAGAGGAGCTGGAGCAGGCACAGGGGGGCATCAGGAACCACCACATCGGAAACGGTGGCAATGCCCCAAGTTGTCCCTGCCTGCTGCTGGTACCCCTGCACTGGAGGCGGGGACTGATTGCCACTGCCATTGTCATTGTCACCTCTGTCCCGCCCTGTGGTTGAGCTGGGTCACCGGGACCCTGTGGGCACTGGTTTGTACCGGGTGACAGGCGGTCACAGCCGCGCTGCGGTGGGTGCTGCTCCTCCCCTCGGGGATTTGGGGACATGTGGCTGGTGCCAGCAGCCTGCCCACGTCTGTGGCCTGCCCTGCCCCTGCTCCTGCCCTGCCCTGGCCGGGCAAACCGGGACGGCGGCAGATCCCGGGGGAGCGGGGCCGTGGTGACTCTGCAGTTCAGCTGCGGAGCCGCTCCTCTTCCCACGGCTCGTTGTCACCACACGCCGCAGGCGCTGCCGCCAGGACAGTCCCTCCCGTGGGGACAGCACGTCCAGGMGACATTTGCAGCCCAGCTGCGGGAATGAGCTGCGGAGATGCCATTGAGCATCTGGCAAAGGGATCTCCTGCCTGGACCCGAGTGGGAGGTGCCTGTGGTGGCCTCTCTGGCCTGGGAATGAAGCACGTCCCAGGAGACGGGGAGATTTTGTCTCGAGAAAAACGRTTTTGTGTTAGGACTCACCTAAACACTCCTTTTGGGCTGCCCCTGCACACACAGCGCCCCGGGGGCTGGACACCAGAATTAAAAAGGGGCTAAACCCCCACCCTCGAGCGAGCACAAACTCCAGCGCAGGGAGGAGCAGGGAGATGAGGGCACAGCAGGCACGGCACTGCCACCAGAGATCCCAGAGAGACTTCTGGAACGTGGCATCTGGGTTCCCTGACCCCCCAGACCCCAGCAGGGTGGCCAAACACCCCTGCCTTGTGCCCCGTCAGCGCTGCCCGACCCTCGCTGCCATCCATCCAGGCTCTGGTACAGCCCAGGCTCCGGGGCTGCTGCAGCGGTGCCAGGCGATGCTGCCTTTGTCTGAAGCTCTGGGGCTGGGCAGCCCGGGGGAAGGAGGGRTGTGAGGGTGTGAAAGGCTCCCTGCAAGCTCGGAACGCCTGAAAACCTGATTATTTCAGGGCTCCTCCTGGCCTACCCGCACACACAAAAGGCTGCGAGACAATGAGGGAGAGAAAATGGCTCCGCGAGAAGAGCCGGGAGCATCTGCCAGGTTAACTCGGAGGGGAAGGAAGGGTTGTGCTATGCCCTGGGGCTGCTGGCCCCAGCCTCGCCTCTAAACCCCGCCTAGCACCATCAGCTTTACGAGAAAATGGGGGGGGTCGGGACAAAGCAGCAAAACGGCATTTTGGCTACAAATCCTCCCAGGAGCATTGAAAATCAGGCAAGAATCCATTTACCTGGCAGGAGCCCTATTCTTGATGAGGATTCTGAAAAAAAAAAAAAAAAAAAGCAGGAGCCCTATTCTTGATGAGGATTCTGAAAAAAAAATAAAATAAAATAAAATACAAACAAGCGGTGCAGCAGTTAGTTGTGATTTGGGCAGGGGGCTGCAGGCGGTGTCCGGGGGAGGGCCAGGCTGCCCAGTGCTGCCTCCGGACCGGGATCACCGGGATGGCCCGGCGGGCCGGGATGTGGCCGGGAGCACGGTGCGGGATAAGCCCCTGTCCTAACAAAGGGAGGGGGTCCGGGCTGTCCCGGCCTGACACCCCCGGGGAATGGGGGGCTCCTGCCGGGGCGGGGTCTCTCGCGGGTTTTTTTATAATATATTGGGGGTTGGGGGGGTATTTTTGGGAATGGAGCCAAAGGGAGCTCCCCCCGAAGCGACGCTCGCAGGACCCCCCGAGTCACGGGGTGACATCGCCCCCCTCTCCCTCCCCGATGTGGGGGCGGCCCCCGTGCTCCCCGCGCCCCCAGACCCCACCGGCGCTCCATCCCGGTCCGCAGGGAGCGGAGCCGTGTCCGCGGTGCGTTACCTGCTCCCGGGGGCCCGGGCTGGGGTTGGGGGGCGCCGGTTCTGCCCGCTCCTGCCCGCCGCGCCGCTCCTTTGTGCTGGAGCTTTCCCAGAGCATCCCTGAGCAAGCGGCGGCCACGCAAACTCCTCCTCCAGCAGCCCCCGGCCCCCCCGGCCCTACCTACGGCGCAGGAGATGCTGCAACTCGCATTAAATTTTAATGCTGGAAATGCGGCCGAGTCACCTTTTCTCCGCACCGCTCCCGCTGCTCTCCCCGCGTCACTCCCGCATCGTTCCCGCACCGCTACCGCACCGTTCCCGCACTGCTCCCGCTCCGCACCGTTCCTGCACCGTCCCCGCACCGCTCCCGCACTGCTCCTGCACCGTTCCCGCACTGCTCTCGCTCCGCACCGTTCCCGCACCTCTCCCCGCGTCACTCCCGCACCATCCCCGCACCGCTCCCGCACCATCCCCGCACCGCTCCCGCATCGTTCCCGCACCGCTCCCGCTCCGCACCGCTCCCGCACCGTTCCCGCACCGCTCCCGCTGAGGCGGATCCCGGGGACCCCTTTGTCACGACAGCCGCTGCAAAGGTCGCTGTCACCCCCCCGCCAGGACATGCTCCGCCGTGGTTCACGGGCTCCCCACAGCCATGGCTGTGACCCAGGGGACACGGGACAAGGGGCGCTGGGCGGGGGCTGTCGGGCACACCCTGGGGACATGGTGGGGACGGATGGCAGAGGGACCAGCCCGGCTTGGGGACACAGCCCTGTCCGAGGACAATCCCCCGTGCCGGGGACAGCTCCCCTCCCGTCCGGGGGCTGTGACAGCCCCTCCGCAGCGCTCTGCAGCTGCTGGGCTCCCGTATTGTTCTCCAAGTCCCCGCCGGGTCCCCGGGGAGCCCCTGTCTCGCCGCCAGCTGCCCGCCGTGCCTGGCCATGTGCTGGCCCCGCTCCCGGATCCCGCGTCCCCCCGGGGCTCTGGGCGGAGCTGGGCAGGGCCACAGGGCTACCCACGACGGTGGGCTACCCCAGCTGTGGCCGTGGAGGGGACGGAAAGCTCCGCTCCTGGGGTCTCGCAGGCCCCGGAAGGGTTAACCCTGGGGCGCAGRAGGGTTTCACTCAGCCCATCCCACAACTGTTTGTTTCTTCTTCTATTTAGCCTTTTTAATTGTGATTTCCTGCGGAGACAATCCCTTCCTGGGCAGCATTCCCTCCGCTGGTGGCCTTGCTGCTGCAAATGTCATGGATGGGACATTTTCACCACATCAAACCTTTTCTCCAGAGCTCTTCTGAAACGAGGATTTTTTTTCAGACCAGCCTTTCCCTGCTGCATTTCCAGCTTTGGCTGCATACTGGGGGTGCGGGAGTGAGGGATGGGTGCCGGGGTGGGTGCAGGGGGGTGTACAGGTGGGTGAGAGTGCTGAGATGGGTACAGGGTGTGCATGGATGCTGGGATAGGYGCACAGCTTGATCCTGGAGCTCCTTCCAGCCCCTGTCAGGTGCTGGCAGAGCAGATGGTGTCTGTGGGGTGGCGGGATGTGGGGGTCCTGCAGAGCCCCTTGAGCCTGCAGCCGGGCAGAAATAACCTTCCACCTCATCCCCCCTGTGTCCCATGACATCACTGTCACCCACGCATCCCCACGGCCCCCCATCCCCAACTGCCAGCGCCGCCTTGGACAATTGAGCCTTTATTGAGCKTTKTCCCCGCCGCCCCGCTGGACAGACSGCKCCCGGGGCGTGTGTCCGGCGGCGCGGGGGCTCCGGCCCCGCRGTCACTGCTGGACCCTGCGGATGGACTGGACTTGTCCCGTCTGCGCGTGGGACCCCCACTCCCGCACGTGCTTGTACTCGCCCGCGGGGCTGTCGCTCTCCAGCAGGTACTGGAAGCCCCGGTACCCCGGGTACTGCGAGCACACCCACCTGCGACAGAGCGGAGAGAGCCGCTGGCTCGGGGCTGGCGGCACCGCGGAGCCCGCGGGCAGCGGGAAGGTGCCGGCAGCTGCCCGAGCATCCTCGGCTCTGCTGAGTGCCCCGGAGCCGGGTCCTGGCAGGCTGCACGCCCCGGGTACTCACGCTCCGGAGCGGACGAGGAAGGAGCCCACGGTGCTGCTGCCCCAGCCCAGGGCGGGCAGCGAGGGGCAGTCRTCGCTCATCTCTGCCCGCTTGCCCTGGAAGTTCTCCTGCTCGAAGAGCATCAGCCTGCTCCGCCCGTGGTCCTGCGGCCAAGACGGGCACGGTTTTGGCACTGCCACCCTGTCCGCGACCAGCGGTGGGATCCGTGGCCGCCTTGGAGAGGGCGGGGGGCACTCACGGCGCAGGCGATGGGGCGGAAGGARCACATCCTCTCCACGTGGTAGGCGTTGCTGCCGCTCCACGCCTCCCAGCACGGGTACTCGCCGCGTTCCAGCACGAACTGCTGCCCCTGGAAGCCGCAGTGCTCGAAGCCTGCCCACCTGCCGGGGCGGGAGCGGTGAGACCCCCGGCGCGCCCACCGCCCCACTCACGGCCGGGGCTGTGCTCGCTGCACCCAGCGGTGCCCGGAGGAGGCAGCCCCGTGGCTCGGGGGGCAAAAGGCACTGGAGACTACTCCGTCCTCCACCCCCCTGCCATCCGTGKGGTCCCGCAGCACGGTGGGGTGGCAGTGCCCCAGGACCCCCACTCACGCCCCGCTCTCGATCTTGCAGGAGCGGACGGTGCTGAAGCCGTGCTCCGGGGTGCTGTAGCAGTCGGTGGTGAACTCGTGCTTCTTGCCCTGGAAGAAAGGCTCATCCCACACCACGATCTGGGGGGGATAGAGGGAATCAGGGGCCTCTGGGAGCGCTGAGGCCCCGAGAAGGTGCTGCAGTCCCGTTCCTGGGCGCTCAGAGCATGGTGCTGGTCCTGCCCAGGCTCGCGTACCTTCCAGAGACCGGAGGATTTCTTGCAGCGGTGGGTCATGGTGGCTCTGCCAGAGCACAGGGGAAGGGCACAGTTMAAGCTGCCCCTCTGCCCAGATGAAAAAGACCCCAGGAGCCAATGCACATCCCTTCACCAGCAGTGCAGGGGACAACAATGGGGTTGCTCCATGCTGGAGCAGATGAAGAGCTCTGTGGCTCCCCCTGCCCAGCCGGAGCTGCCACCAGGGCCATGTGGAGCAGTGGGCACCTGGCCCAGCGGGCACCTGGCCCTGGCAGACATCCCTGCCCGTGCCCGGGGAAACTCCTCCTCCCGCTGGCAGCTCCCTGAGCCAACCCCCGGTGCTGGCAGGCGGCAGGGCWGCGCTGAGCCGGGAGCGCTGCGGAGGTGGCAGTGTGCCCACACCTAGCGTCACCACCCTGCCACTGCCACAGCCAGCGACAGCCCCCTCTGCCCCATCCCCCAATCCCCCGCCACGGCTCCCGGTGCTGAGGAGAGCTCTAGCCCGAATCTTGGATGTTCCTCCACCTGTTCCAGCAGCTGCTCGSCCCCAGGCCCCAGCCATGGGCACAGGGCAGCTGCCCCAGGCTCCCGCGCTTACCTGGGGTGAGGCACTGGTGCCCAGGGAGGTGACATGTCCGGCAGCCTCCGGCTGGGTTTTTATAGCYTCCAGATAGAGACAGAGCCCAGGGGAGCATTACTGAAACCCCTAACTCAGCACATGGCGGGGAGGAGGGACCGCGCCGAACAAAGGCGCCGTGTCAGAGACGGTGATGAGCCGGGACGTCGAGCTGGCCCACCGGGCACGGGCTCTGACCCCCGCCCCACAGCTCCCGAGCCGGGACATCGCCCCCAGACCCTGCCAGCGCTCCTCCCTGCCGTGGGGCCGGGCTAGGGCCGTGTCCCAGCTCTGGCAGCGCTCCCCCTGCCCGCGGGCAGAGCTGGGGGCGAGGGGAGGTTTCCTCACCCGTTTCTGGGAAGTGGGAGGAAGGACGCGTCTCCACTTGCTCTCCTTGCAAAGGCAAAGCAGATCTTCCAGAAATCTGGGACAGCTTGTTGCAGATTGGGCACAAAACAGCCATGGACCCATAAGAAGTGGGGACCAGGGGCACAGAAGGCACAGAAGGGGGTGGTGAGGGGTGCAGGCATGGGCTGGAGGTGCAGGTCAGGACTTGGGGGAAGCTGCAGCAGCCTCCCACCTCTGCGCACTGGAAAGAATCGGCTGCACCCGCATTTTGGGAACCTAAACACCTTCCAGTCTTGCTCACAGTGACCCACACACCTCACAAATCATGGTGCTGGGACTCSCAAGGCCGGGCAGAGTCACTCTCCCAGCCTGCCCTTCACAGTGGGCAGCAGGCAATAGAGGCTCTTGACCCCAACGGGAAAACCCGTGAGCCCAGGGAGTGCTGTGTTTTGGGACAGAATTTGCCAGGAGACTGCCAGATGACTGAGCCAGGGTCCCCTTCGTGCAGCTGCAGCAGCCCCGGGCACTCTGGGGGAGGCTCAGCACAACGGGCTGCCCCAGGGCATGGCAGAGCTGTCCCTGCCACCCGCAACCCCAGCAAAAGCCCTCTTGGCACGGGCACAATTCGTCCCCAACCTCTCACTGTGGCCTGAGCTAAACTCAGCTTGTGCTGGCCACCAGCACAGTGACCATGGGGCTGTCCAGGCCGTGTCCTGGCAGCGGGATGTGGTCACTGGAGCCCGGGTTGTGGCCGGGTGCAGCCGTGGTGCCGCTCAGTGCCAGGCAGGGATGCAGCAGCGGGAACTCCACGGGCAGCGGGACTCACCCGGGCAGAACAAACCCTCGTGCCCGTGCCCTCTGCGGCCGCGCTGTGCCAGCTCCGGCCATTTGCTGCTGGGGCAGCTCTTTGATGTGCTGGAGCTGTGCAGGGAGGGTGCCAAGGAGGGGTGGTGCAGAGAGGGGCTTTACAGGGCACATGCAGCTGAAATTTTGTGCCTGGTGGAGCTCGGGAAGGGTCAAGGGCAGGTTCCTGCTGTCAGCCCTACACAGCACTGGCTCAGGGGGAGTTATGGGGTTGCTGAGTGCTCAGTTATGAGCAAAKCAGCCATCAGGAGCAGAGCTSGGCCYCTCTGAGCTGATTTTCCAATGCCCMRRTTCAAAGGTGMTGGGGGTTGAGAGGGGAAGCACAGTCGGGAGCAGGGGGTGGGTGAGACCTGCTGGTTAATGCCCAGRAGACACAGGAGARGCAGCACAGACAGAACACCCACCCTGGCTCTGGGAGGAAGAGAAGGCAGGTTGAATTAGAAATCTGGATAAAAACCATGGAAACGAGGGAAAATTGAAATGGTGAGCCATAAAACACCGCCCAGTGTCAAGGTGAGAACCAGGCTGGGGCAATGCCAGGGGTAATGGGGCAGCAGACCCCACAGCCAGCCATGTCACGGGCACAGCACACCTCCTGCAAAACCTCGGGAAAAGGAGGGATCAATACRTTCTTTTTGTTCGGGGTTTTGCGCAATAGCCCAGAGGGTGCAGCTGGATCCCACCGCTGCTGGGTGACACATGAGGGGAACAAAAGGGGAGGGCAAAACACGGGGCTCTGAGCCCTCTGCCCGCACACCCTCGGGTCAGGCACCGCTGGTGCTGGATGCTGCGGGAAGCTGGGGGATGTTGGAACGGGGGTGTGGAGGTGGAGAGCTGATCAGAGGCTCAGAGGGACTCAGGGGAAGGACCCCGAAGTGCCATGGGGGTCGGGAGGTGTGGCACCAGAGGCTGAGCGGCCACAGGGAACGGTGCCAGCGTGTCCCCATCAGCCACCCCGCGACCCTCCTGCGCCAGTCACACAGAGCTGATGCCCCAAAACCATGAGGGTGGTGGTGGCAGAACCAGGGGTTATACAGGGTGAGCACAGCACGGGGAAATCGGTCTAAAAAGCAGAGGAACAGCCCTGTCAGTGAGCASGGACATTCCCACGGGAGAACAAACACCGTTTTCAGGCACTCAGGTGGTTCGGAAAGTGTCAGCTTGGATTACACATCGTTTGGGAAAAAAAAAAAAAAAACCTAACTCCCDGAACATTTCAGAACACCCATGTCTCGCTTTCTGGCATCTCCAGRGCAGCGCTGCCGGCGCTTGCGGGCACGGAGCGATGTTGAGAGCGMGAAGGGTCGGTGTTTGGAGGGGACAAACGGGCACAGCGCGGCTGCAGGCCGGGCTCGGMGGTGGCAGCGGCACGGGAGCGGGGTGTCCCCGCGGGCTCGGGGCCGGGGYGCTGGGCAGGGGAGGTGTTCCTGTGCCGGTGCCGGCGCCGGCCGGGCCGTGCCAGGGCTATATATGCCCTGCCGGGGCGGCCGCACGCGGGGCAGCGGGTGCCGGGCGCGCTGCAAAGTGGCACGGTCAGGTCTTCTGTTGTGCCGGGGGCACAAAGGAAAATGCTGGGTTCAGCGGCTGGGCACGGGGCCGGGGAGAGGCTTCCAGCTCGCCCAGCGCTTTGCAGGATGTGATGACTGGGCGGCCGCGCAGACACTGATGAGCTGGCAGTTCCTTTGTGCGCCCGCCCGGGGGTCTGCCCTTGCCAGGCTATAAAGTGGGGGCCTCGCAGCGCCCCGAAACACAAGCCCGCTCACTCCAACAAGAAGCAGCAGCTGCCCAGGTAAGAGGACAAAGTTCCCGGGCACCGGGCTGCAGCCGGACCCGTGGTGGGGAGAGGGAAACTCAGGGTCTAAGCCGTGGCCACCGCTGTGGTGGTCACGTCTGGGAGCACCTGGGTGCTCAGCATCCCACCGCCCTCCAGTCCCCGGGGAGCTGCTGGTGACACTCACCTGCGGGGCCACAGCAGGGTGCCAGCAGAGCAGGGCTGTCCCCTTSCCACCCCTCACACGCTGCCCAGGTGCATCCTGTGTGGGACGGCCCCAGTGCCCGGCACAGCATCAGGCCCCAGTGCTGGGACCGTGCTTAGGGCTCTCCTGCCCACWGAAGGAGAGTGTAGACCCCAGGATGTCTTTGATTCCCCTGGAGAAGGCAGAACCCCCTGTCTCTGCCTGCTGGGAGCCATCAGCTCCTCTCCTGGCCCTGCCCACCCACCCCACTGAGAGTCCCCATTTGGATGTCACCATTCCTGGGGCGGGTTGCGGGTGCCCACATCCAYGCCTCCCTCTGACCTGCTGCTGGTGCCCTGTCACAGACTTGAGCCCACCACCGCGATGTCTGAGACCACAAAACCCGCTGCTCCCGGCCAGGCTGCGGATGAGAAGGAGAAGGCAGCTCCTGCGCCAACTCCATCCCTCGACCCTGCTCCTGTCGCAAACAGCAAGGGCGAGGAGCCCTCCCCAGAAGCCTTCAGGGTAAGCCCTGTGGCTCCCCATGAGCAGGGACATGCTCCGGGACGAGGGACAGGGGCAGGAGATTGCTCCAGCGGGAAGGAGTGTGGAAGTGTGGGTGATGCCATCTYTCCCTGCTCTGACAGCACGCACAGGATTTGCGGCAGGAGGAATGGCCAGAGGGTTCCTTGGCTGGGCAGTTTGTTGGGGCCACAGGCTTTGGGAGTGCTCTCCCGTGGGTTGTGGYGTCAGGGCTGGCTGCGGCCACCTGCTCTGTCTGGTCACTCCCTGCATGTAGGGGAGGTGGAGGGGGTGTTAGGGGTGACAGGGCCACAGCGAAATGTCACAGTGATGCCAGGTCAGCGTGCCACCGAGGCACTGCAGCGGGGCTGGCAAAAGAGGCGAGTGACGCGAGGGCTCCGGTGACACCGTGCCAGGCAGAGAAGGCCACAGCGCAGATGGAGCACCTGGAAAAGCAGCTCCTTCCCACCAGCATGGGCACTGGCAGCAGCAAAACCAGGGGCAGGATGAAGCCATCGTGGAGCAGGAACAGCTGTCGTGGGGACCCTTTCTGTGCTGGGACTGCCCATGTACAAAACTGGGCAGGCACCAGATCTGAGGAGCTGCAGGAAGGCTTGGAGAGCTGAGGGGGACACATGGACAGTGGGCTCAGGCATGCAGGGTCACCCAGCACCAACCTGCCCTCCCTGAGTGTGCCTGTCCTCATCCAACCATTTCCTTGCACCCCCAGATTGTCGTCTTCGACCAGGAGAACTTCCAGGGCAGGCAGATGGAATTCACCGCCGAGTGCCTGAACCTGGCTGACCGCGGCTTCGACCGGGTGCGCAGTGTCATTGTCACCTCCGGACCGTAAGTGACCCCAGCCAYGGAGGGCGCCGTGTCCCTGGGGATRTCCCCGGTGGGTGGGGACACAGCCCTGGGGGCACCCTGGGCACCGTGTGACACGCAGAAGGGACATTTCCCCGCTGCCTGGGCAGAGCAGAGCGGGGCCAGYGCAGGAGCAGAGCAGGCATCCCAGATCTCCTTCAAGGAGCCAGGACAGGCAGGAAGGATGCTAGGGTTCCACACAAAGCCAAGGGCACCAGAGTCAAAGCTGAGGGCTGAGGAAAGGTGGTCATCAAATCACCCACCAGGAGCTGTCTGTGGAAGGCAAGGGGATCTGAGGATTTTGCGAGGTCAAGATGAAATGAGGTGGAATCCTTGGACCAGGCTGGATTAGGGGCAGGCAGAGCCAGGCAGGGGTGAGCAGGCAGCCCTGCACCCAAGGCRGCTGAGCAGCAGCAAGGGGGCTGGGCAGGTCTCAAAGCCGTGGGAACAGTTGAYACAGGCAGGGACAAAACGATCCCCAAAGCAGATAACTGAGCAGACGGATGATCTCCATGTTGAAAGAACTGGAAAACGGCGCACCAAGGAATGCAGGGGGGCTGGGAGTGCTGTGGGGAGGAATGCACAGGGCATGGAGTGTCCTGACAGCATCCTTGAGGGACCTCTGGTCACCTGGAATGACACCGTGCAGCACTTTTTTATTGGGAACCCAGAATATCCAACTCTTCTTGAAACAAAAGGATGCAGCAGACTGGAAGGAGCTCAGGTGGGATACCTGGGAAGCTGCTCTAGACAGGGAAAGGATGAAACTGGGAGGGCAGAGAACT